TCGTCAGAAAGGTCCTCGTATTGCAAAAGTCGTGAGGAGAATCAATTGCAATGTGGAACCTCTGGATTATGGAGTTGTTCAGCCTGGCAAGCTATGGAGCGACAATCGGGCTATTTACCCCAAGGGTATGATACATGTGAATTACTCGTATTTATTTTGCTCAACTCTTGGAAGTAACAATAGACAAACTTGTTCGTGTGTCAAATGCAGGATTCAGGAGCCGGGTCAGATACATTGATGTTTTAGATCCAGCAAATATGTGCTACTACGTTTCTGAAGTTCTGGATGCAGGGCGAGATGGGCCATTGTTTATGGTAATTAGATATTCTGTTTGAATGGAACTATTTGTCGAATCAATTTGTGTACTTGTGTTGGCGGAATTCTTATTTTTGGCTATTGTGGTGCGCTTCAGATTGCCATAGTTTCGTTCTTGTTTCCTCTGCATTAAGTTTTCCATGCAGAGTTGAGCCACACTTCATTTCTTGCCAGTTGCCATATCTTGATAACGTGTTTACTGAATAATTACCATAGCGAGGTTTCTCCATGAAGCTTCATTATCTTTCCACTTCAACTGCATTATGTTAGGAGACAACTTCTCGAGCAGATTACCAAGTAATGACTACAAGTCAGATTTGTTGTTTCTTTCAAAAGCTTTGTGAGTTTCTGCTCAGGTTGTAGTTTGCCTTTAGGCAATTTGACTGCTACAATATTAGCTAGATGGATAGTCTTGTATCAGCTCATGAAAACATTCACAGCCTACATCTTTGAGGGTTACTTCACAGCTTTTTCCCTGATTGCCCTTTCTTTTTTGTTTACCTTCGCTGTGACAAGCTTATTGGTGTCTTTATTGCTATGTATTACTTGGTTATTCATGCCATTGTGTTGTCATACTAATACTATTCCTGCTATTCTTGCGTCATACTGTAATGTTATTCCTGTATTCCTGCCATTCTGGTGTCCTCTCTTTAAGTGGAAAAATGGGCCTTGCAGGTCTCGTTAGAGCATTGTCCGAATGAAGTGTTTGTTCATTTATCCGCTGTCAGATGCTGGGACATGGTCCGGGAGAGAGTGAATCAAGAAATAACAAAGCAACATAAGTTGGGAAAACTGAAGCTTCCTCCTTTGCAGCCACCTGGAAGTCTTGATGGCATGGAAATGTTTGGTTTTTCTTCACCTGCAATTATACAGGTCATTCCACATATGTTCTTGAATTTGATTTTAGATCTTGGTAACTTTCTGGCACGACACAATACTAATATGTTTATCTTTAAAAGGATTTCATTTCCGATTATCTCCTAGATAAAAAAATGTGAGAAACAACATGAAAGTTGAAAGAAAATATGAAATGTAATCTAAAAGATATATATCGTCTTGATGTTTTCATTTGATTTCATCTGTGCAGGTAATTCAAGCTATGGATCAAAATCAAGTGTGTTCAGAATACTGGAAATCTCGACCGATGATGCTGAGAGCACCATCCGCATCTGTTGACAGTTTGAGACTCAATATAAAATCCGAGATCTCAAATGATCCTACCGGAGCTGATACAGTACTCAGTGGCCTGATTAAGAAGGCAAACTCTGAAGAACTTCATGCATTGTACACACTTCTCAAAACCAATAATTTGACCCCTAATCAAGGTTTAATGACTCGGCTTCTTAATGAAGAGATTGATAAGCGAGGAAGATGATTAGATTTACAGCCTCGTCGAGGCTTAGACTTCTCACAAGGAGTTAACCCTGTAAATGTTCAACCACATTCTAGTTTTAGGTTAGATGGCATTAGGTTGACCCCCATTTCTTGAAATTTTGCACTGGCTAATAGCAAGAAAAGTCCGTCATATAGTTACTTCTGGACTTTGGTTCTTCGCATTCTTTGAGAAGGATGATTGAAATAGAAAATTCTTTTTCCAAACTTGCTAGAGTAATTGTTGCTGGTAAACATTAATCATCCCAGAATTTATACATGGAAAGAGTTCGAAATTAATTTATACTAGCAAGCTTTTGAATAGTGAATCTCATATGGTTGAACTATCCGTGAATTCCCCCCTTTGCAAAGACGNCTTTTTTAACGTGTACCCGTTTTATTTTTCCGTTTGCATTTGTACGCGTTTTTTTTTGTTAAAAGCGTTTTAAAAAGACGATTTTGCCCCTTTTTAATAAAAGACTATTGACAAAACTATAGACTACAAAACAAAACTTCAGCATGTTTTGATATGAAGTTTTAGCAAATAAATTAAATAACTTAAGCATGCATTAGCAAAAACTCATTAGAAAATTACATACTGCAAGACAAAAACTTAAGCATGTTTATTCTGAAATTTTAGCAAATGAACTAAAAAACTTCAGTTTGTTTAGACTGAAGTTTCGGATAAAACTCGTGACAAAACTGTAAACTGCAGGACAAAACTTAAGCATGTTTTGCTATGAAGTTTTAGCAAATGAACTAAAAAACTTCAACTTGTTTAGATTGAAGTTATGGATAAAACTCATGACAAAACTGTAGACTGCAGGACAAAACTTCAGCATGTTTTGTGAGGCAGAAGAGGTTGTTGGAGGTATTGAAAGACTATGATATCACCATCTTGTATCATCCCGGAAAGGCCAATGTGGTGGCCGAAGCCTTGAGTAGAAAGGCAGCGAGTATGGCAGCCTTGCGTTCATTCCAGTCGGTAAGAGGTCGCTTGCATCAGATGTTCGGACTTTTGCCAACTATTTTGTAAGGTTGGATATTTTAGAGCCCAGTCGTGTTCTAGCTTGTACAGTCGCTCGGTCTTCTTTGTTTGAGCGCATCAGAGATCGGTAGTATGATAGTTATAGCAAATGAACTAAATAACTTCAGCATGCATTAGCAAAAACTCATTAGAAAATTACACACTTCAAGACAAGAACTTAAGCATGTTTAGTCTGAAATTTTAGCAAATGAACTAAAAAACTTCAGTTTGTTTAGACTGAAGTTTCGGATAAAACTCATGACAAAACTGTAAACTGCAGGACAAAACTTAAGCATGTTTTGGTATGAAGTTTTAGCAAATGAACTAAATAACTTCAGCATGCATTAGCAAAAACTTATTAGAAAATTACATATTGCAGGACAAAAACCTAAGCATGTTTAGTGTGAAGTTTTAGCAAATGAACTAAAAAACTTTAGCATGTTTAGATTGAAGTTTCGAATAAAACTCATGACAAAACTGTAAACCGCAGGATAAATAACTTCAGTATGCGTTAGCATGAAGTTTTAGCTTTAATGTGAAATTTTTCACGAATGAGGTTGCAGATCACGCGATTAATGCGTGATGCAGGTTTTATATCTTTTGTTAGGGGTATGATTGTCATATTATTATGGATTTTTTGTCAGCTGGCTACCAAATCAATAATTTTTAAAAATAGGGTACAAGTTAAAATGTGATACAAATATAGGGTACGACTGAAAATCCCCCAAATCTTTTATGTGAAAACACATATAATATATTTATTGGTTTTATGTAAACATCATATGCAATTAAGTTTTTACCATCTCTCGTACTATCAAAACTTGATTTAAAGGTCTCATTATCATGTAACAATGAGCAACAAACAAGAAGTTAGTTTGGTAAGCAATTAAGCAAAGCATTTGGAAATGGAAATTTTACATGCTATAGCTAAATAATGCATCATATTTATTATAAATCAAAATAATTTAAAAATATTAATATTTATAGCCATTTTTTTATATTTTATAGTAAAGTACAAATATATACAACTGATCCCTCAACTTTTCCTTCAACCCTCTCTCTCCCTCAATTCTCTCTCCTTTTCCCCCTCTTTTCCCCCTCAGCAAGGTCGTCGTCTTCTCCGGCGACTCACCGCCATGGCCAGATCTGTTCAGATTTCCGGCGACTGTACTTCAGATTTCCGTCTTCTCCGGCGACTCACCGCCATGGCCAGATCTGTTCAGATTTCCGGCGACTGTACTTCAGATTTCCGTCTTCTCCGGCGACTCTGATTCAGATTTCCAAAAGCTCAATTCGTAGCCATGGTCAGATCTGTTCTCCTACTCCTTCTTCGCTTCCACCATCGGGAGTCCACCATCTCCATCGCGCCTCCAACTCTTACCTAGACAGAGAGAATAAATTTGAAACTTTCCGGCATTGATGAATTTACATCTAGCTCTAGTAGCTCGGAGAAGAGAATAGATCTAAAACTTTTTTATATGGATCCATGGCTTCTTCTCCTTCTTTGTATATCATATATGAGTGATTCGTCTGATCGGATTTTGGTAGATACAATGTGATAGTGTATTCTCAGATCTGACCAGATTTTTGTTCGTCTCCATTTTTAGTTTTAATACAATGTATACAGTATTTTCTTTGGCCGGAAGACGCCATCTCCGGTGAAATTTCTTCTCTTCTTTGCTATTGAGTCAAATACAATGATACAAATACATTATATTCATACAAATACATTATATTCTGTACAAATGCACTCAAATACATTGTATTATGTACAAGTACATTATATTTCACATGTATTTATGTATTTCGAAGGTTATTTTTTGCGGCAGATCCCTGTATTTTTTGTATTTTTTTTGTTTGAATACAACCAAATTAAATACAGTAAATCGAGTATAATGTAAAAGCAGCTACAAATGAATATAGTGAATTGAATACAATCGAATATAATTGTTTTTGTGTTTTTTTGTTGTTTGAATACAGTCGAATTGAATACAATGTAAAATAGTTAAGAATGATTATAGCTGAATAAAATACAATGTATACAATCAAATTGAATAGCGCGATATACACCCTATTTCATGATTTTTTGTTGTTTGAATACAGCTGAATTCAATATAGTGAAATTGAATATAATGTAAAATATATAAGAACGAATACAATTTATAGAATCGAATTGAATACAACGGCATACATCACATGGTAAGCAATTAGTAATTACGGAATGTAATTAGCTAAATTATAGCTACACCCAACAATAAACCTCTAAACAATAGTCATTTCCGAAAGTTTTCTTTCAAAAAGGATTAAGCCCAACATCTTTGTACGCTATCAAGCAAATCAGTGGCTTCGTAGGCACTTGATCAAGGATTAATCCCTCATTCAAGTATTAGGGCCTAGCTGACCCATTTTCGTGAAACTAATTGGACCTAAATTGTACTGCCTAAATTATCTTGAAATGACATAGGTAGCCACTCTAAAGGGATATTATTTTAGAAATTAGCCAATGTGTCTTGAATTTTAGTTTTCCAATTCAATTTTTCGAGACACAAATGTTATAAATTTTTCTGAATTTAAGATTTTTAGTTCAAATTTAATGACAAAATAAGTAATGACTAATCCCTATATAATTGCATTGCTCTTGTCAGAAATATGCAAACCAAATGTGGGAGTACTTGGGATTAACTAATCGAGCATACAATTATATTAACGACTACTAAATATTGAGCCGTGGAATCATCTACTGATACCTCATCAGGGTAGGCTGCCTACATCATATCCCTTGAGGTGCGACCATTCTCTGAAACCAGCGTGAATGTGAAATGATTCGTGCACCGAACTATCCTTTAACGGTAACCGATGCATTTTGGTGTAAGCACGTGCGTAAGTTTTTTCTTCTTCTTGTTTTGCTATTATAACGTGACCAACCATTTCCATTTATTCTTTTGATGGTTCATCTTCATTGATTAAATAAACATTGGCAACGTCTTGAATGATTTTTGTAAACCTTGAATTGTACAATTACGGCGCTACTCATATAATATAAAAAAAGATCCGAGTTCTAAATATATTTTTTCAATTTTAATTTCAAATACTCGATCTTTCTTTTTTCGAACTTCAACCAAATACTATACTCTAAACGCGAACTTACAATTTCAAACTAATTTCAATCCAATTTCAAACTAAAATCCGCTCAATATCTAATTCTACTATGTACTTATATTAGTAAACACTAGTTTACCGTGCATGGTTAAACCAAATACAATATATAACACATCCCATTAATTTCTTTGTGTTTTCTATATATATATATATATATATATATATATATATATATATATATATATATATA